TTTTAAATGCATTATTGTATGCAATCGTAATAACACAAAGTATTCTGAATCTTGAATTTGAATTAAATCTAACTGAAAAAGTAGGTTAAATAAATTAAGTTAAAAAAATTATTGGTCTATATATTCATTTTATTGAATTCATAAGGAATGATAGATAGCTAATTGGTATGTAATTCATAACAATGATTGATGAAGCAGGAAATAGGAAAGCTAATTCTGTGTCTGCTATATGATATGATAAAAATTAACCACTCATATATAACAGTTATTTCGCCGTGAAACATTGTCAAAAATACATATTGTTCTCCATGTGTTACTTTTTAAACATTTTAATTTAATCAATAAATAAATCCTTATAATACTTCCAAACAGCTAAGCAGTTTTATCTACTACACCAATGACTATACCTTCATAAAAGAAAGTTTAGGCCCTTTGAAGATTTAATTTTCATGCTACATTCACATCTAGCCATCAACTGATATTAGATGCCTATTGGTATGTGCAACAATAACAAAATAAGCGAAGAATAATGTCGATCAGTTAAAACACAAGTAATAAGCACATTGCTGGCCTTGTACACCTAAAGTAAGGCAAAACATCTTTCTAAAGCCTGGTCCATTTTCCTTTAACCATTATTTATTTTCCTCATGCCTGGTGCCAGTGAAATAAATATCTGGATCAGCTATGTATTTTTATAAATTGTGGTACCACTTTATAGTTTGTTATTTTAGGAAAGTATCCACCCATTTGTAAACCACTGCCATAGTATCTATTGGAAGTAGTTTTTGTTTCCCCGTGTTTTGGAGAACCATTTCCTCTTCTTTTTTTGTCCCTTGGACAGGAAGTGAAGGGTGTTCTCCCCAATGTGATACAGACAGCAAAAAACCCTAACACGGGTCCTAACCATTTCTAAAACTTAACGTTTTTAGCTTTACAAACACTTCAAAATGCAAATGATGGTTAGACATGTACAGCTCGATACATTTCAGATCACTATTTGGCCCTGTATGGTTAAAGCATGTTGCCTGACATTTCAGCATACAAAATTTTAAGCACAAACAACTTTATCTCATGTGTTATAACCTACGCTCACACAAAAAATAATTGATTTATCACACCCTGTAAAGCCAGAGTCACTTACTGTTTAGCTTCAATGCAGCTCTCAAACTTAAAGGTTCTCCTACAAAATAAATGACAGTCTCCCAAACCTGCTGTTTGTAGCCAGATTTGGTGGCAATGTCAAGTCTATGGAGTAGCTAATAAAAGCCTCAAATGTGCAGTTTCAGAAGGAAAAGGGGTTGAACCTTCAGGGCCCCGGTGCAAGAAACCATACAATATAATGCATTGCTAGGACTTGTACTTCTGCATAGTTGATGCTATTCTGCATTCTGCATTATACAGCAATGCAGAATAACAGCTATGCGGGGCTACAAGTCCCAGCAATACATTATAATAAAAATCAGCAATGCAGAATACCACCCGTGCCCCACCTTCCCCGCACCCCACCATCCCGGTCCAGACTTACCTAACCTGACTCCTGCAGCACCTTCTTTCCGTGTCTCGGCGACCAGGCCTAAGTGGAGAGGGTCCTTTCCCACACAGCACATTCTGCTGGACAAGTGAAAACCTCTCAAGCCCCGCAAAGCCACCCGTACATGCTGCGGGTGGCAGAGCGGCAGGGAAGGAGTGGCATTATCTCAGGGGGGTGCCCTCTTATTCCTCTCTGGGCCCCCCAACAGGCGGAACGCCAGGGCCCAGTCGCAATTGCGACCGCTGCGACCCTGGTAGTTCCGCCAGTGGGTTGATTTACTAAAGGAAAATAGGCTATTCACTATGCAATTTTCACTTAGCTTACTGAATGAGATGAAGCTCTATTGACTTCCATCATCCAATTGTATTCAAGCAAAGTGGAAATTCCCTTGCGTAGTGAATAGCCTATTTGCCTTTACTAAATCAACCACAATGTCATCAGACAAGTTGGATTACCTTGGGGTTTATCTACTAATGTAGCAAAAAAATTTTCACTTAGTTTACTGAATATGGTGAAGTGTTTTTCACTACCCAATCAATCAGCAAAATATAAAAACAATCAGGAATTTTGATTTCACATGATTGGATCATTAAACAGAACAGAAAACCATTTATCTTTTTCACTTTGTAAAGTGAACATTTTCCACTCCTTTAGTAAATTAGAGAGACTCACACTCACACTTTGAAAAGAGACTCATACTTTGCCCATTGAGCCTCTTGAAAGTACACTCTTATATCCATAAGTACTATATTCAAATCTGGTTAAATCACACAGTTACACATTAAACTGAAGGATTTATTCTGCTATACCCTCATTCTATACAGGAGTCTATCATGTTGGCTGTACACTTTTTTACCCTTTCCAAAAAACAGATTATGACATTCTGGGACACACAACCCACGTGAAAGGAGTAATTGTTCCCAAACTGTTGTCTATATTATAGGCATATATAGCCAACATGACATTTACAGTAATAGATTATTCAGTGTAGGCTTCTTAATGGGTTTGTGTATGCCTGCATACTCTCACAGTGAGACCAATAAGAGTTCGTTGAGCTAAATGTCTTCAGGCAAAGTGATGTCAAATTGATTGTGGCCTGCAGTGTCTGGTCACGCTGAATTCATTTTAAATGTCCCCACTCCCCACTAGGAGACAGCTGGGTGCAACTACGAGCTTGCACATCCATGTATAAGTGTGCAAGACTTTGTTTCTCTAATTTTGTTTTTGCAATTGCTATAATATGATTTCAGATCTGAATATATTTAAGTAAAATGTATACAGGACTACCTGGTTACATATACTGTTTTATTTTAAAATAAAACCTGTAGCGTTATTTTAATTTAGAATACAGTTACACAACTAAAGAGTGGTTTTATAAAAAGCCCCATTGATTTTCTTGAGTACTTCGTAAAGGAATCATTCCTATAGTAGCAACTATGGCCATCATATGACAGGATATTTAAAGGGTTATTCACAAAGTGAATAACCGACCCGAAGTGAGACGAAAGCTGTTCGGCTATTCACTTCAGGCTTTTACCGCTGATTTCAGCCGTACAACAGCTGAAATCAGCCATACATCGGCTTGCTTCAGCTGGCTTCGAACCTCTGACAATGAGGTAGGGCTCATTCTCATAGGGGTCGAACGGCAGTGAGTGAATAGCCCAATGCCGTCGAGCGGCATTTGGCTCGGCTATTCTGCTCGGTACCTCCGTGGTACCAAGCAGAATAGAAAACCAGTGAAAAAAAGTTGAAAAAAAAAGTAGAAAACAATTTGGCGGAGCTAGCAGTGACGCCACGGCCGGCTCAGCCGAGTCCTCATTGAGTGATGACAGTTCAGCGTCCCCTGGTTACCAGGTAACTATGTTCACCCAGTAGTGGTGTCCCTGCAAGCCATGTGGCAACTCTGATTAAGGCTAGAAGCACACAAATTATTTTTAGTAGCATGACTGCACTGCTAAATGCCCTAACAATTAATTGAAAATAGTAGCGATCGATTGCTACACATTTGGAATACTTGGCTCCCTATGGAGTGAGGCACATAAGTAGCATGTAGTAGTGGTTAATCGCTAATGATCGCACAATACTCCCAATGTGTGTGCAATCAATCACTACTACAAGCTACTGCATTCTACTTGTGTGCTTCACTCCATAGGGAGCCATTTGTTCCAAATGTGTAGCGATGGACTGCTACTACTAGTTATTAATCTCTAGCAATTTTAGATGTGAGATTGTGCTATTAAAAATTGCTCTTGTGCTCCTAGCCAAACTGCTATCTATTACAGAATCAAACATCAGTTCTTACAGAGAAAGACAACACAGAAATTGCATTCAAAGCCCTAAGATATATATTGTAGGCTATAAATTATTTCTGGGAAACAACTGCCATTGTCCATTCCAGGCTTCTCACCAGTGGCATAATTTATTGTCAATAAATGCTTTACATTAACATCTATAGACAAAGGAGCAGAATGCTCTCTTATTCCAGTGAAGCTGTGTTCCCTTATATTTTTTAACTCCCTTGTGCATGATTAGATAATTAAAGTAAACAGAGATTTCTTGGACATAAGCTAGCCATACCCGGCTACATTTTTCCAGTTCAGCCTTGTGGAAAGAACGTACAAAATCTCTTGATTCTCCCATCCATACTAAAAAGCATGGAAGGAGGAATCTCCACCAGTTGGCTATTGTCCCGCTTTCAGAAATTGGCTGAAATTCAAGCCATGTATGGCTAGCAAATTGACTGTTTTACTGATGTAGTAATTTAACCCCAATTATTTAACTGCAGATCATAACAATAAGGGCTTATTTATAACTCCTCTGATCATCATATAGGTGGATGGGTGCTGTTTGCATGGCACTTCCTATGCTCCTCAGCACCATGTAGTAGTTGCAGCACTATCCAAATGGCATCTGCCCAGCTATCGCCCCAAAGATGATAAAGACATAGACAGCAGTAATCACATTCATTATAGTAGTGTTTAAAGTGATGACCATCAACTACATTTTCTCACACATGACCAGGTTCAGGTGCACAGAAAACAATGTTGGCTACATACATTGCTTCAATTAAACATCCAGATAAAGTGGTTATTGGGATTGCTGGTTTTGTAGTCTGTGTACAATATAATTAAAGTGACATTAAACCCTCAGATTTTTTAACATAAACCAATACTGAAATGTGTGCCTTACTGTAATCCATGGTTGTTCCCTTCTCTTTGCTGGTCTTCCTTTTAAATTTGTATCTCTTCTCATGCTGGGGGAGAACTTCCCTTTACAGCTAAGTGCCTTTTTAAGATGGCATTTTGTGCAAATTGTGGTGTCACGAGGGCCAATGTCCATTTGTGTTTCAGACACCATACACATAGGTGATAAAATGTAACACTTGGTGCATGTGCCTGAGACAGATAACTACCTTATACCTGAGCCAGAAAAATTGTGTGACTTGAGCAAATATGCACACGTACTGAGAATGGAACGGGAGATGAATGATCTTGTAATGCAGTACCTGAAGCTGCAGCCCTTGAGGAATAAGAGCGGTAATGTTGAAGAGCTGAGAGATGTGTGGAGGCATGCAGAGCTTGTGTATTTAAAACATTAAAATAAAACTGCTTTTTCATAAGTGAAAACAATTCTATATCTATCTGCATTACAGATGTGCATAGTAGCCATCCATGAATCCATTGCTCATTATTTTTATTCTCTAAGGGATTCTTCAAACCAGTTGATTTGTTCTGCACAGGTCAACACAGGCTCAATGCCAGAGCACAGAGAAAACAACTGTTTTTTCTGTGCCCTGTTCAAAGCACAACGCTGCCTTGAGGTGGGTTGCGGTAAGTTGTGGAAAAATGCAGACATTTTTCCTGCAATGTACTAGAGCTCACCTGATGTCACTGCAATCATCCAATGGGGACACTTGTTTCGGTGACAACTGTCTATGAGGGGACTTTGCTCACTTTGGAGTGATTTCCTCTCAATGTGTCACTGTAAAATGCATATTCTCTTTTCTTCAGAGAATAAGGGAAGGTCCATAAAGTGCACCTGAAACAAATATTTTTATTTTTGGATAGTGGTGAGGGGTTGTAACCCCTTTCAGGTTTTTTTTAGTGCTCAATGCCAATAATAGAACTGAAAGTAAGGGAAGATCCAAGATTTGCATTGTCACCAAAAGAGGAATAGAGTAAAATCTTCCAATGTGGACACTTTTGGTGACACCTGTCTAAGGCCTTGGTTCTCAACTGGTGGGTCGTGACCCAAAAGTGTTCAGTGGGTCACGGTGTGCCTTTCACTGTGCTAGGTGAGAGGCTCCTCAGCTCCTCCTGTCAGTGCTCTTGCCAAGCAGCCATTCCAAATATGCTGCCCGGTGCCGAGTGTCTGCTTGAGGTGGGATGGGCTGAGGCTATGGCCGTGAGGGAGCTCCATCCATACATCCTTGCGTGCCCTGTAGAGGTGCCTAGACCGGAGTGATGTCACATTCTGGTTCCCGGCACCGCTACAGGGCACTCAAGGGAGCTGTACAAACATTGCACATATGGATGGAGCTCAATCATAGCACAGCAGTCCACACTGGACCCCAAGCTGAGGATTAACTCCAGCTCTCGTAAGGTATGGAGACTGGTTGGATCTTTTGAATGGCATCCCAAACACACCTCACCCACAGTTTGATTGCCTGCATCGGAACATGCGGTACCACAACCCTGTGCGTTCCATTGCAGTGCGACTTGGGTCGCGACTTAATGACCAAGTACAAATGTGGGTCCTGAGGTTACACAGGTTGAGAACCACACGTCTAAGGGGATTCTTATCACTTTAACGAGAACTCCTCTCAATTCCTGTTGTGTGCAAAGGACAGGAAGCATTATTACCAATGCAAAATATTTCCAATTGACACAAATTGCAGAAAAATGGCTGTGGTTAAACCATTCTGTACTTTATCCAAAATAAAAGAAAATGTTTTGGCTTCAAATATAGTTAGCCACCTAAAGCAACAAACCTTTTCTGCTATTGAGCGTGCCGTTCACTGTTGCTTGTTTGCTACCTTCAACACAACCCAGCTGCTACTAAAGATCCAAGATAATGCTTAAATGGCTTTATGTTTCCGAAGTTAAACACTACATTTTTTTTCCCATTACAACTTGTTAACCATAGGACAGTTAGGTTTACTGCCTAAACTGCTTATTTAAATTCTGTAGAAGTTTATAGCACTAGACAAACAACAGATTGTCATATAAACACAAACATAAAATTGGGTGGGAAAGCCTAAAGGCATAAGGAGGACAATTTGAGGAATTTTGGTTAGTTGTTTTTTTATGGGCTAAGTCTGCATGATACCTCAGCCAGTTGGTTGGTCATGCCCCCTGGGCTGACAGTTGTCACCCCTCACCTGCAGGTACATGTAGTAAAATGGTATACAGGTTCCTTTTCCATAATATTTGCATGTTATACTGAACTTTAAAATATTTCTGGAAAATGTTGACTTTTGTTGTCACATTTAAATGCATTAATAAAACCAAGTCTTCGTTTTACTATAACTTTTTTGGAGTTCAAAAGGTACATTTATGTGACGTTTCCATTGTCGAGTGGGGATATCTTCCTACATTTCTAAGACATTATTCAATTTAAGCCCTAGATATCTCCTTCTACGTAATCATCGTAGGCAATGATTAGAAATGGTTTTATTATTCTGAAACTAAATCTTTTACTACACTGAAACATTTCGAATAGTTTCCACCCATGTGAGAAAAGTTGTAAAAGACAAGTGTTGTGAATATCCTTCGGCTCCACATTTTATTAGCAAGTAATAGTGAATACTTAGCACAAAATTTGTGAAAGGGCAACCTGGGGCCAGTCTAACAAACCTGCCAAATTTGCCACTTTCAACCAGTGGATTACAGTTGTCGGTGTGTGAGAAAGTAATGAATGTAAAATACTGCTTAATGAAGACAGATCAGCCTAACTGTTGGTATATACCTGCTGAGTCAAGGGAAGTTCATAGTTAGATAACAAGAATTAGGAAAGCTTAGGTGAGGAAAATAAATTAAATAGAGCTATCTGTTAGGGCTTCTTATTTACAATGAATGCTATAGAGGCTTACGGGAAAGCAAACTTTGTACATGCAATGCATGTGGGCAGATCAGGGAAATATTTTTGCTAACATTTTGTTTCTTTATTCTGTATTGTTGAGCACTGTAAAATCAAAATAGGATAGTGCTAAAGAAACACAATTATAATAATAATAAACCCAACTTTACAACAAAAACAATAAAAAACTTCTTTTAAAAAGCTATAATGAAGGTGTTGCAAGTTGCATATAAATTACATTTTTGTGATTTTTTATTTTTTTTGCAATGCGGCTTTGAGAAAGTTCTTTTAATATTTTTCTTACAAATCCAGTTCTGGTCATATGAATTTCTGCCATAGCCTGAACCTGATACAAATTGGCAGGTTCAATGTCTCACAAGTTTTTTTTCAAGAATGCCTCATATATTTGCTTGTAGACACTCACAGGGTTATTCACAATGCTAGCCGAAGGATCAGCCGACTGATCCTTCTGCTAGCTTTGGCTGCCGGGGCCCTTCGGTTCAGTCGAAATGAAGGGCTGCTGTGCGGGCTATTCACTATAGCCCGTACAGCTCCCGAAGTTGGCCGAGCGGCTCAGTCGAACCGAAGGCATATGCTTCGGCTCGCCTGAGCCAAGGCAAAATCCGAAGCGGGCCAAACGCGGAAAGCGCTGAAAGCCCCCATATGTTATAGCAATTAAAGTACAGTAAAAAAAAAAATATAACAGTTTTTTAAAATAGTATCAAATAAAACTAATGTAAAAATAATTTAAAATGTTTTTTAAAGTCCCCCACTCCCGCGAGCATGCGTGTCATAACGTAAACACTAGCCGGGTGCGCCTACTATGAAAGCAACGATCGTCATATACATGTTGGGCATCGCTGCGTACGCCAGAGTGAGAGCAACAATTCTAAGGCTGATATTTATATGTATCTCTAAACTGATGACCTGTAGGGGCTTTTAAAGCGTCATCTATGGACTTTTTGGGGTACTAAATTTTGTTGCAGTTTCACGGACACACACAGTTTTTAACCTAGGCATGTTGGGTATCTATTTACTTGTTGTAACCTAATCTTTTAAATTTTATTGAAAAATTGGTATTTTATTATGTTTTGGGGCACTAGAATTAACTTAAGTGCATTTTTCACAAAGTTGTCAGGTTTGATAATAAGTTGCGCTAGTATCGTGCAACATAAAAATTTGCAACTGCCACCATTTTATTCTACAGGGTCTTGTCTTTCAGAAAATATGTAATGTTTGAGGGTTTAAAGTAATTTTCAGGTCTAAAATGTGGATAATAACATGGGTGCAAAAAACAGGGGAAAAAAAGGCTTTGGTCATGAAGGGACTAAAAGGTATTTTTTTTCTTTATAAATGTCACTTTTCTACAGAAGCGCCCTGGGCCGTGCTAAAAAAAATGAAACAAAATTCTGTCTTTTAAAGTCAGAATTCTGTGTTTAAAAGTCAGAATTCTGTGTTTGAAGTCAGAATTCTGAGATTACAAGTCAGAATTCTGAGTTTGAAACTCAGAATTTTAAACACAGAATTCTGATTTTTAAACAAAGAATTCCGACTTTCAAACTCAGAATTCTGACATTTAAACACAAAATTCTAACTTTAAAAGTTAGAATTTTGTTTCATATTTTTGTTTAGCACGGCCCCAGGGCGCTTCCGTACTTTTGTGTGTATACATCTCACATATGGATCACTTCACAGGAAGGTTCAGGGCATCTACCAAGCTTGTTTTTTTTTAAAGGAATTGTGCAATTTTAATATTGCCCTTTAGGCGTTATTAAAAGAACTGCTCCCCGCCAAACAGTATTTTTGTTTTTTTCCGCTTTGCATTGATCCATGCCAACCCTGGCAATCCTCAGTTCCCTGTGCCCTTTGTTTGACTATCCCTTGCCCATTAGCCTTAAAAATGGCCAGAATTGATTTGAAAGATTCAGCTCCAATAGACGTCAATGAGACTTTGATTGACATTCAGAATTTAGAAGCAGTTCGGTGAACCTCACTTTGAACCAGACCCAGGTACAATGGGCTCCTCACAAATCAGGATCACTGCCCACTGAGACCGGTTTCAGGTGATATTCATCCCGTACTCATGACACCTATTGTGACAGCAGAGTGTCAGGTGTATGCTAGCAGATGCGTCTTTTTTTTCTGGGACGCTTCTCACCTTCGGTGTTAGGAAAGCCGTAAAATGGACAAAGTCTTCACAGGGCCAGCTGTCAGCCCTCCGCAGAAACTAACACATTTTTTTCCACCCATTGTTTGCATTCATAGAAAAAGTTTCCCTTCTTCGCGAATGATTTCTCTGAACGTTTTAAAGAGTTGTAAGAAATTTGGCTGCAGCAGTCAGCTCTATGTGGATTTTTCTCACATTCCTTGTCATCTGTCCAGGATAAAATGGTTTAAGGATATAAAAACACAGGGAGGGGAATTTATCAAAACTGGAGCAGACAGAATCTGGAGCAGT